AATAAATTGGAAATTTTCCCCTCTTGGATTTTTTAAAAACAATTGTATTGAATATGTGTTAAATCGTCTTTAAATATTGGTTAGAATTATCCAACAAAACCATCTGGGCCTGGAGTTTTCTTCTTGAGACAAGTTTTAAATTATAAATTCGATTTCCTTAATAGTTAAATGGTTATTCATATTGGGTGAGTTGGGGGTAATTTGTATTTTTGAAGAATTGGTCCACTTCATCTGAGTTGTCTAAGTTCTGTGTTTAGTGTTTGTAGTTTTCCAGTATTGTCTTTACGTGTCTGTAGTGATATACCAGTTTCATTCCTGATTGGCAATTTGTGTCTTCTCTCTTTTTTATTTGTCAGGAATCCTGGAGCCTTGCCAAGAAGTTTATTGATCTTTTCAAAGAACCAACTCATAGCCTCATTGATTTTCTCTATTGTTTTTCTGTTTTCAGTTTCATTTATTGGTGCTCTTATCCTTATCCTTAGTAGTACTGATGGTAGTAGTAGTAGTATTTTTGCCTTAGATTGATTTTACTCTTCTTGTTCTTGGTTGTTGAGGTTGGAGTTTGGATTATTGATTTGAGACTTTTCTCTTCTAATGTATGCAATTAGAGCTATCAATTTCCCTCTGAGCACTGCTATAGCTGTGTCCTGCAAGTTTTACTATGTTCTATTTTCATTTTCATTTACTCCAGTGTTTTTTTTTTTTCTTCAGACTTCCTCTTTGACCTATGGATTATTTAGAAGTGTGTTGATTAGTTTCCAAGTGTTTAGAGATTTTCCTGTTATCTGTCTACTACTGTTTTCTGGTTTGATTCTATTTTGGTCAGAAAACATTGTATGATTTCACTTGTTTTTAATTTGTTGATAATTGCTTTATGGACCAGGATATGGCCTATGTTGGAATATATTTATGGGCACTTGAAAAGAATGTGTATTCCTCTTTTGTTGGGTGTACATTCTAGAAATATCATTTAGATCCTGTTTGTTGATGATATTAAGTTCCTGTATGCTTGCTAATTTTCTGTCAGTTCTGTCAATTGTTGAGAGGTACGTTGAGTTTACAGTTGTAATCATGGATTTGTCTATTTTTCTTTCTATTTTACCACTTTTACTCCACATATTTTGTACCTCTTTTGTGTATGTGCATTCAAGATTGTTATGTTGTTTTGTTGGATATTCTTTGTTATCATTTTATGATGTTTATTTCTGTCTCTGGTAATTTTTTATTGAAGTTCTTTTACTTGATATTAATGTTGCCACTCCTGCTTTATTTAATTAATGTTTACATAAAACAGATATAATATATCTATGTATAGGTATAACATATAACATAAACACATAACACACATACATGTTTTACCATGTTTTTACTTTCAACCTGTGTATATCATTGTATTTGAATTGAGTTCCTTTTGGACAGTATATAATTCATCCATCTTTTTAAAAATCCACTAAGCATATCTCTGCCACTTAATTGGTATATTCAGACAATTTACATTCAATTTAATTTTTGATATGTTATAGCTTAAGCACACCAGTTTCTTCTTTGTTTTTTTCTTCTTTGTTTGTCATATCTCCTGCCTTCCTGTGGGTTTTTGAAACAATTTTTAGAATTTTTAGAATTTTGACTTACCTAGTATTTTTCAGTGTATTTCTTTAATGTAGTTTTTATAGAGGCTGTTTTATGTATTAGATCATATATACATAACTTACCACAGTGTACAACAGGTGTACATTTTACTAGTCCTAGTGAAATCAGAAACCTTACCTCCCTTTTTGTACTTTTGTCCATACCCATTTATAATTGTCTTAAATATTTCCTCTATATACACTTAGAACCACATTAGACATTGTTAAATTTTTGTTTCCACCATCAAACATAATTTAGAAAACCTCAGAGAAGGAAAGTCTATTATTTTTACTCATAAATTTGTTATTGAATTCTTTATTCCTTTCTAAAAGTCCACGGTTCTTTTATCATCTCCTTTCTATTTAGACAGCTTCCTTTGCTATTCTTTTAAGGTGGGTCTACTGTTGAAAAATTATATTATTTTTCCTTCGTCTGATAATGTCCTGATTTCCCCTTCATTCCTAAAAGATATTTTCCATGGATATAGGGTTCTGGACTGACAGCTCTTTTTCTCAGCCTTTAAAAATGTTGTATCCCTTCCTCTGGCCTCCATGGTTTCTGATGAGAAATTTACTTGTCAGAATTGTTTTTCCTCTGAAGGTAAGGTTATGTTTTTCTCTTGCTGCTTTCAAGATTTTTTCTTTGTCTTTAGTTTTCAGAAGTTTGACCATGATATGTTTTGGTGTGGATTTCTTTGCTTTTTTCCTTGCTTGTGGTGTGTTCATACTCTTAAATCTGCATGCCTTTTGCTAACTTTTGGGAGTTTGGGGCCATTTTTTACCATGTTTTATGCCTTACCCTCTTTCTCCTCTCTTTTTGGGACTCCAGTGGCACAAATGTTTTATCTTTTAGTATAGTTCCACAGTTTCCTAAGTCTCTGTTTACTTTTTTAAAGTATATTTCCTCTGTCTGGTTCAGATTGGATAATTTTTATTGTTCTCTCTTCTTATTCACTGGTTCTTTCCTTTGCTCCCTGCATTTTTTTTTTATTTATCATAGTTACCATGTTTTTCAGTTCTCAAATTCCCATCTGGTTATTCTAGAAAGCTTCTATGTCTTTGCTAACACTTTTAATTTTTTTTGTTGTTCCAGCCATGTTCATAATTTCTCACTGAAGCATTTTCATGATGGCCACTTTAAAATCTTTGTGAGATAATTCTAATATCTCTATTACCTTGGTGTTCACAAGTATTGATGTCTTTTTACATTTAGTTTGAGATGTTTCTTTTTTTTAATGTTTATTTATTTTTGAGAGAGAGAGAGACAGAGACAGAAACAGGGCATGAGGGGGAGAGGGGCAGAGAGAGAGGGAGACACAGAGTACAAAGCAGACTCCAGGCTCTGAGCTGTCAACACAGAGTCCGATGCAGGGCTTGAACTCACGAACTGTGGGGTCATGACCTGAGCTGAAGTCGGATGCTTAACCAAGTGAGCCAGCCGCCCCCCTTTTTTTTTTAATTTTTTTAATGTTTATTTAGAGATGATTCTGCTTCATTATATGACAGATTATTTTCAGTTTTATATTATTATTTAATTTTATTATTACTATTATTTAAACTTTTGATTTTATCTAGATTCCTCTGACACTACTCCAGCAGAGAAAGGGGGTACACTTGTCATTGCAGGTATAGATGGAAGTCCAGGTCTCTCCCTCCTGGCTAGCATTGACTCCTGAGTGGGAGGGCTCTGTGTTACTGCTGGGTGGTGGTGAGTGTTCCTGTTCCCCACTAGGCATCCATTGATACTTTATTGGCTAGGAGTAATGGGAGTGGTTTGTTATTGCTCCCATGATGGCCTTTGCTGGTACCTTACAGGTTGGGGAATTGTAGGGTTGGGCAGTTTCTAATGTCCCAACTCTCCACTTGACCTTCTCTGTCCAACACAACCTTAGTAGGGAGAGAGAAGAGTGTCTCATTATTACTGAGTTGCAGTGGAAGTCCAGGATCCCTATCTGAAGTCTACTGATGATAATACATCAGGTTAGGGTAGAGACTTTGTTATCTGCTGACAGGGACAAAAGTCCCAATCCCAATTCCCTACTCAGACTTCCTTACACCACCCTAGGATTGGGGAGAGGAGGTTAGGATGCTTTGTTCTAGCCTAACAAGGGTCAGTAGGAGGCTCCTCATTGGGCCTTTGCAGGTTAGGGATGGCTGTGTGTGTGGTGTCTGACTAGAGCAAAGTGGTATTGTCCCAGTGCTTTCTGTCTTTCTGTGCTGCTGCTTTCTTGGTTCTTTGGCTACAGAGAACAGGCTTTTGTTGGGGGCTTCTCTGGTCTGCACCAGTTGGTGTCTCTGGGTTGTCAGCTTCTTCAGCTTGAAGTTTGGATATATGAGGCAAAACTAAAATCCAAGGAATTAGCCACGATGTTGTTCCTTGGGTCCTAAGGTCCCTAGCTGTTCTGTCTTCTTCTCTTCATCTTTCAGAGTCTCCTTACATTTGTCTTACGTATGATGTCCAGAGATTTTTCGTTGTACCTAGCAGAAGGATTAGGAAAAACTATCTACTGCATCTTCCTGGAAGTGAATTTCACCTGTTTCTTTCTTTTTTTTCCGTTTTATATATATATTTTTTTAATTGGGAAGGCAGCATATTCAATTTTCACAGTAGTTTCTTTAAGGAACTTAAACAGAATGATTCAAAACTGACTAATAAATTTTCTATTAAAAAAGAGAAAACTTGAAACAACACATCTCTATCTGTAATGTACTTTTCAATACCCATTTCACTTCTACTTTCCAATTTCTGCTAGTTTGTTTCTTGATTCCTTTATCACCAATAAAGTCTCCTTTAGCATTTATTGAGACACTTACATTTAGAAGTGAGCTTTTCTCACTTGAAAGTTCTCTCTGAATGACTCCCGCATGGGCGGGGGGGGGGGGGGGGCAGGTTCATTTGATTCATTGCTATTACCCTGTGCCTGTCACAAGGCCAACCCACATTCTAGTACTTAATAAATTCCTGCTGAGTAAGTGAATGAGAACTGAAAATCTAAATTTTTCTTTCTGTAAGAGCATATCTACTTGATTCTTGCTATGCTGAAGCATGAGACATATGTGTCTGTAGCCCATGCTTGATTTCCACCAGGCACTCCAAGCATGTGCTTAGGGCATTAGCAAAATTTGTCCAGAATTTTGCAACCTAGAAGAAAGCAATTTTAATTTCAGCACATGTGTCAGTTTTTGTTTTATGGTTTAGAATTGTTTGTATTTTGAATTACAAGTGGGGAAGATGCCAGAATGGTTCCCGTGTGTGTGTGTGTGTGTGTGTGCATGTGAGCATGTGTGCACATGTGCATATTCCCTCCTATCATTTCAAAAGAAGTGACCCAAAGAACATGGCATAAAAAGACCTAGACTATTTTTAGGGTCTGTTTCCTAGATCCCTGAATCTTTTTTTTTTTTTTTGATGATGATGATTGATTTTTAGTTAAATCGTGGTTTGATTATCTTTAAACCTTTGTCATGCAATGTGTGTTGTGTGGCTGTATATCCATGGAGGAGGGATAATGTTAGCCCATCGTTTGGTAAAGTCCTGCAAATAATTTTTTTGCAAGCATAATTATACTTCAGATAAAGATCTCCCATTACCGAACCATTTTTTTTAATGGAGGAGAAGAACACGATTCTTTTTAGTACTACTGAGTATGTTTGGTTTAAATACTAATAATGCTCGTTTTCCCGCCTGGCTTTAGATTCTGCTTAAGGAAATGGTGAAAGATTTAATTCACTGTACTTTTGTTAGAAAGTCTGGAAATGTTCCTCCATGGGAACTTTGGTCGCCTGCTAGAATGGAAATTCATTGGGGAGGGGGAACCATTTCATTTTATTGCCTGAGAGGTGTTGATAACATTCCCTACATCTTTCAAAGGCATCTTTCATGCCAAACAGGCAAACTGTAGCTAGCGAAGGAACAGAAAGAGCACTACTTACATGAGTCATTCTCAGCAAACCAGCAGAGCAGCTGTGCTAGGTACCGATGAGGATTACCACAGAACCCAGTTGCAAGGTTTTGTGTGGTTGAAGAGACAACTAGCTCTCTCTGGGGACCACTTTGAAGGAGATTGAAGCAATAATGCATCCCCACTGTTGCTAGTGGATTTTGTGGCCATGTAGTACAAAACGTGTGCCAGATAAAATCAGAAAGTAATAGAAAGCAAGAAGAATCGCACAGATTTTTAATCTTAATGTGAGAGACTAAAACAAATGTCCTGAGCTTGTTGCATGTATTAGTAAGGAGTAGGAGACAGAGGATGGGATGCCTTTAACTCAGAACACTTGCAGGGCTTCCGTCTTTTCATTTGAGAACCATTTGGGTGTGTTGTGAAATAAAGTTGCAGAGTAGGCATGTTCAGACCTTTATTTGCTACAGTTAGTAGGAAAGATTCCCCCCCACCACCTTAAATAAAAGAAGCCAGAGTTTTCTGTGCAAACTGAAACAGGCGTTGCAAGAATCAGATTCACTTTGGACGAGTCTTCACATTCCAAGTCCTCATTGCATCAGGCAGCACAATTCCATCTCTGGTTGATGGGCAGAAAAAGTGGGCAGCTTGCCAGGTAGACGTTTCCATGACTCCCAGCCCCCAAAGGTGATGCGTTTTTCAGCTAATTCAATGAAGAGTGGGCTGAACTTTGGGTCTAAACGAGACAATAGCTGCCTTCGCAGTATCAGCAGAATGGTTTGATGGGAATGCACTCTACATTTGGCAGAGAATCATGTGACCTTACGACTGAGATTTTGTGATGGTGCCAACGGAGACTTGGAAAGCAGCAACCGTCCTGACTTTTTTCTTCTTTTCTAGCATGGCTCAGAAAATGGTGGATCTTAATACTTGACTTTAGCCAGACTCAGCAAGCGACTGAGCTTTGAAGCACAACTTCGCCTTTATTCTGGGTTTTTGGCAGGCCACCAGGAGGCTGTCCCTTTCACGCCTGATAAATTCTGCTGCTTATCTCTAAATAGGAAAAAAAAAAAAAGAAAGAAAAATATAAACAGAATATTGAGGCATAACAAGTGAATCTTAAAATTGTATGTGCTTTTTGTTTTTTGGCTTTTCTTACTGCTGATTTTTTTTTAATGTTAATACCCTTTCTGCTTGCTGAAGAATCCAAGTACTTTTTTTTTTTTTTTTTTTTTTTTTTTTTTTTTTTTTTTTT